CTCGGCTCTGCCCTGCCGGGTTTTCAGTGGGTTGTCGCTGGTGAGGTTCAGCGTCCTTCTGGGGCGCTTTTCTGCCCTACAACGGGGTTCTGGCACTGAGGGTTCCAAGGGCCAGTCTCCGTGCACGCCAGCACTTTGGACGCTGCTCTGGTGCCCAAGACTCAGAGGAGTCCTTTTCTGCGGGACACTGAAAGCTGAGGAGGTCAGTGCTTTGGGGGAGCAGGGTGGTAGGGCTGGGGGAGGGAGGGGAGTATGCAGGAACGACCGGGCGGGCACCTCAGGTGGCCCGGTGAGCTCGTGAGCAGGTGGCCCGAGTTCCTCTGGGCGGGCGTTCCCAGCCCGGGAAAGCCTGGGAAAGCTCCATGCTGTGTGTGTGAGAGTTGTGGAAGGGGAACCCCCAGACCCGGTGCCAGGAACCGGACCACAGCTGCTCTGGAGGTCCCACAGTTCACAAGTTGCAGAATGCATCCCCTCCAGGCGAGGTGCCCGGACCCCACTCCCGTCGCTGGACGTGGCCAGGAAAGCAGGTCCGCTTCTCCCAACAAGCGAAATGCAGTGTCCTTGGCGCTCGGGAAGGTCCGAGACTCTTCCCGCGCCCCGTGACCCCCCTCGGGACCCAGTCCGAGGTGCTCACCGCGAGGAGTTACTCCATCGCTCTTTAGCTGGACCAACGCGGCGCACCCGAGCGGTGCAGCGCCCCGCGGAGCGCAAACCCGGAGGGCTCGGCGGGCGCTGGTTCGCCGTGCGCATGCTTGGGGTTCCCATGGCGACGGCGCCGCAGGTCGAGGACGCCACCCCGCGCCCCGTGTCCCGTCCGCCGTGGAGCTGCCCTCGCACGGCTTCGAAAGGGGCCCGCTCTTCTCCCCGGCACTTTTTCACCGCTGTTTATAACTCGACATTTATTTATGTTTCTATTTTGACATTCCGTGTTTTAGCCTTAAAACTTGACCATCTAAACTTGAAAAAGCGAAAAACAAACCGAAAAACCCTCCCGTTCTAGCCTGTCCCGTGCGTTTACCATTTTGGTTATAGATAGAAGAAAGTGGTGAGAGATTGCTTATTGGAATAGTAACTGACCCCCGCCCCCCAGGCATGTGTACACAAAACATCTACTTCCTGGTGGCAGTTTTTAAAAATTCGGTCAGGTGATTGCTCCAGAGCGTTGGGGATCGACCTCTGCCTCTTTTTCTCCGGTAAGAGAGCAGGCGTCTACAATCCGGCCGCACCTGTGTCCTCCTTCTGGGACCGTGATGACAACTAGATGCTTTCCACCGCGGGCCAGCGTGGCTGGAGTAAAAAATCAATTAAAAGGAACAAAGGCTTTCCCAGAGGAGTTGATTGTTTTTCCAGTTGCCCCTGCGTTCTGGTGACTTCTGGGGTTAATGTTCTGCAGGAAATGTTTCAAGAAGCCTCACCACAAACCAGTCAGTTTTCTCAAGCTTTCTGTTAAGTCATTTTTATTTTCTTAAAGTAGTGACTCTTGACCACCTGCCTTTTTAAATTACATTTTAAGGAAAGAGCTGTAGTGCTTTTTTGCTGATTTTTTTTAAGGCTACGTCAGTATTTGCCACCATGATTGCTATCTAGTTACTTATAAAGAAACATGGGTTAAAACTAATATAGCTGCTAATAAGAGTTTAATGTGGAATTACTCTGCCTGAAAGAAATGAGGCATAGTATAGCTCAGGCGGAGTCATAGATTCTGGCTTCCTGTATCCCGTTTAACCTACTTGCTTTGAAAAAATGGCAAAGGTTTATTAAAGTTAGAAGTTTTGACAATTCTCTTACACCACTAGCAAATAAAATCGAATAGCAATATTAGTTTTCAAATAATTAGCAAATAACATGATGTTAAAGTATTTCTTCCACCCTTCATTCTAAATGCAACTCGCCTAACTCAAATGTTAAAGAATGTAAACACACAATCGAATTCCTTTTCCTCTTCCCTAATTAAAAAACATAGACACACTTGATTTTCTGCTTTCGGTACTTTGTGACATTCTCTGGTGGCTTATAACCAGTTCTAAATCAGTGGTGTCTCTAGGGGGATGTTGGGGTGCATGCAGAGACAGGTGACATGGAGGTGACACCAAAGTGACTTTGGAAAATCTTGTGCAGTGTTCTGCAGAAATTTATTATTTCTCATAAAATAGCTCTATAGTTAGATATAGCAACAAAGATATAATTTAAAAAGATTTTGTAAGCCCAGCTCACATGTATCTGTATACCTCCAAGATTAAAACACTATGCTAATTTACTTTTTGAACCTTCTAATACGGCTCTCCACATCAGAACTGTCATAATTATCCAATTACAATGATATTTCAAATCATGTGGTTTTGATTTCATGTGCTACAAACATATGTTGTTGTATTTATTGCTGCCATTTAAATTTTGTCAAATTTTTATGATGTATTATTAAAGTTTTATGGTAAATGTTATTTGTGACCATATATCTATAATTATTATTATTTTTTTTGAGACTGGAGCAGTAAGTAATTAGGGGAAGAAGGAAAACATTTAAAGAAGGTTTCTACTCAGTTACTTATACTGTTGTACATGGAGAGATTCTACAAAATAATTTTGTTGCATTCATATACTCTAAGAAACACTTACACATGTTACCCTTATATTAATCAATGAAATGATCAGTTAAAATGGATGATAAATATTACTAAGGATTGTCTTTGGCTCTGATAAGGGAAGAGGTGGAGGCAGTGACACCATGAGGAGCTGCACTGTGACGCCCCTATTTCAATCCCCTAATTCTCAGTGACATGTGTTTCTGCCAGTTCCAGGAGGCTAACTGCAGTTTTAACGGATGGTGGGATAATGAGATTGGGAGTGCAGGGGGGAGGCAGTGGGAATGAGACAAAGGGAGGGGAGGCTGTTGAGGAGAGCCAGGATTTATAGTTGTGCTGGCTTCCTAATACACGCTGTGAAAGTCACGCTGCTGTTTGATAGGTTGCCCACATCTTCACAATCATCACAATGTAAATTCTCAATTAATCTTTCATGTTCTTACTGGGGTAGAATGACAAAAACTGAATCAGGTTAAGTGCTGTTCGGGTACCCTAATATAATCCTCTCTGAAAACTCTTTATTTATTTATTTATTATTATTATTTTTAAATCATTTTATTGGGGATCACACAACTCTTATCACAATCCACACATACATCAATTGTGTAAAGCACACTTATACATTCGTTGCCCTCGTCATTCTAAAAGCACTTGCTTTCCGCTTGGGCTCCTGGAATCAGCTCCTCATTTTTCTTTTTTTCCCACCCCGCCCTTCCTCCCCGCTCCCCACTTGAAAACCCTTTTAATGAAATGCTGTTTTCTCCATCTATTCACTTGGTCCACAAATATTTGTATATGAGGCATGACAAGTCCAGGTTCTTGGTCTCAAGGAACTGAGGATCATGAATGCTAACACGAATGCTATTTCACACTTCCAGGGCTAAAAGGAACAGATTCTACCTTTGGTACTCAGAAAGACAGTTGATTTTGTGCCCAGCAATCCAGCTTCCCGATTCAGAAACCTGAGCACTTTAGAGGAATGCCTTGACAGTGCTTAAACCTTGTTTAAAAAAGTGAACCAAATACTGTTTTTTGAGTTACTATATAAGGCAAGAAGTAGGATGTGCACCTCCCTCCTTAGAGTTTTGCAATGCAGGCTTGAGGGGCCCTAAAACTTGCAGTCTTGGCAAGTCTAGGGCTGAGTTTGGGAGAAGCATAGAAACCTTGCAGTTCTCAGGTTTCTTAGATGAAGATAAGGCGAGTGATTCAGTAGTCCTTTGTTCTAACTTCGTCTTTCATGACATAGTGAACCTTCTGTAGCTCCCTTCCAAGAATGATGTTGATCTGCATATTTGAAGAATTGGGACTATTATTTTTCCAAGTTAATAAAAGGGATGGGGAGGGAGAGGGATATGAAATTATGACAAAGACGAAAAGGAATACAGTAAGGGATTTAAACATTTTAACATTTTTTGAACTGGGTGGAGAGAAGAATTTCTAGGCATACAATAGAGTTTCAATCGAATTTAGACACTACTGAAATGCCTACCAAACATGATAAACTACTGGCTTCATATTGACTGAGGTTGGCAAATATTTCCTGTCCTCACTCCTAGGACATAGAAGGTTAGAGAGACTGTGGCACTTCCCGAGCCCAATAACAACTGCCAAGCTTGGAGAAGCTTGCTGAAGGGCACCCCATTTGGTTATTGCTCTTTGTCTAGGAAAATCAGACTCAGCTGTGAATTGTGGACCAAGTGGTGCAGAACTCATTACTTTGAACAATGCCTCCCCGGCCTGGGAAGCATGTTCTGTCTTCTCACTGGGCAGGCTGATTCCAGGCTGACTTCGGTCACAAGGAAAACCATTTAGACACAGTTCAGTGGACACTCACTTACATCTCTTTGACACCCGTGACCGTTTGTGTCTAAGGAGAAATCCAGGACTGCTGTGGTAGGGTGTGCCGAATCGGAGTGTGTTTTAAGAGGCTCATGAAGAAGTTTACACAGCTTTGTGTTATTATCACCATGGTCTTGTGCTTCACAGTGGCAGAGGGCAGCAGGGTGAGTGCAGAAGGGATCACCAAAGAACTTTTTTATAGCGAGGTGAAAGACATGCTCACCAACAGCCTCTGTAGGTTTGTATTGTCAAGCAAGTGGCTGTGCCTTGTTAATAATCAGACAAAGCAGAAAAGGACAAGCCTGCCACATTTACTATATAAATCATGAAACCAGGGCCCACAGAGGTGAAGTGATTTTCTTCAGTCTTTCTTAAACCTTCGTCATAAATGACAGAACTGGGAAGAAAATGCACCAAATGCTGATTTCTAATGATCTTCCCCCCCTCCAGGAAATCGAGGGATGATAGGCAGATACAAAGTCTTCCTCCGGATTTGCTGTTTGCTATATTTGTAGGTCAAAATTCAATTGCCGATGACTTAACCTAATATCACTGAGTGGAATTGGCATTGGGTCTCTACTGGCTATACCCGTGGTTCTAAGCATGTGCTTATCATGAGACCCAATGCTATGCACATGCACCAGTGCAAGAGAACAACGGGTTTTATTCTATTATCATCCAAATTGAGTTTTCATTATCTAGTTTTTGGAAGCCGATAGCTGCGCCTTTCTTCCTAGTCTGCCTTAGTTGCACACCCCAGTGAAAACTGCCCATCACGGTG